GTCAACCCATTAAACACAGAAAAGCTAATTCTTCAAAAAGAATAGACCACTAAATCATCAATGCTTTACTCTGATATCTAGACAATAAATGGAAAAACAGCAAAGTGTTTGTCCCTATACTAATAACTGATCTTCCAATCAAATAACTCTAGCTCACAAGTGAACTTTTTCTTCACATAATTCCATACACTAAGGTAGGAAGAAACTGCAGAGGGAATTTAAAATCACTGCGGAAAACTTCAATGAAATAATTTACTCATGCAGAGACCATCACTGGGTGAGTCACTAGATGAAACACTAAATGCAAGACTGGCAGAAGCTTAACAGTGAGGGGACCAGACTGGCCCCACCTAAATCCATCAACTGAGCTCAGTATCAGAATACTGGGACAAGCAAGCACTCCTGATGGGTACAAATCAGATCACCCAACACTTATGCACTACACCTGGCAAGTAATGACTCTGAATTTTAGTGTAGTGTTTATAAAAAGGAAATAGAAGACTCAGAGCAAGTAAAATGACACATTAGACAGAAGCAGAGCCAGAACGTAGGATGTTCCAGAGGATGACAAATTTCTCATCCAATTCAGGGTCATACAGTAAAAAAAAAAAAATAAATAAATAAAATAGGAAACCTCGATCTAGATCAGGGGTCCTCAAAGAAAGGTGGTTCTTCCAGAATTTATGGTGACTAAACCTCACAATGTCTAAGATCATTTCTGGCTCTCAAAACTGGGAGACTACTACCAACATCTAGTGAGCCATTGTTAGAGACATTAGTAACCATTCTGCAACTAACAGGACAAATATCCCTCAACAAAAAGATCCCAAATGTTTATAGTGCTAAGACTGAGAAACCCTAATCTATGGAGCAAGAATCTTCTATTTATCCCATGTTGGATCTTAATTTGAACAAATCAACAAAATATAACTGAGACAATTAGGAAAATTTTAACAAGAATTCCTTTGAATTCTGCTAGAATGAGACAAGGGAAATCCAAAGGGATTAAGTGTTAGATGATATAAAAAGACTTATACTTTTATAATGTGCTTAACCTACAAGAGATCTTGGCTCAGGATGGTGGTGCAAGCCTTTAAGGTAAACAGAGGCAGACAGATCTAGGAGACCAGCCTAGTATACATAGCAAGTTCCAGGCCTGCCAAGAAATGAAATGTTGTCCCACCCTCTTTTCTCTCTTTTTGAAGCTAGGTACCTGAGGCCTGGGAGATGGCTCAGCAGATAAAGGCAATTGTTGCCAAGACTAAAGACGTTTGAGAGAGCCAAATATCCCCAAGTTGTCCCTGATCTCCACATGTACACAACAGCATACTTACACCTCTCCACCCCGCCACACAATAAATAAATAAAACACAATAGAAAAAATGTTTTTTGCTGGGCAGTGGTGGCATATGCCTTCAATCCCAGCACTTGAGAGGCAGAGGCAGGTGGATCTCTGTGAGTTCGAGGCCAATCTGGTCTACAAAGCAGGCCCTGTCTCAAAACAAAACAACAAAATCAACCAAACAAAAAATATGGACACACTGAAAAGGATGTAGCTTTGTAGCAGAATACTCAATTGGCATGCACAAAACCCTAGGGCTTGATCACAGTATGAAAAAGGGGGAAAAAATGATTGATTAAATGGCATAAGATTTGCTTTAAAATGTTTGAAAGACTACATCAAAACTGTAATACTCATTTAAATGATGAGTATTCATGATATTTTCTCTACTTAATGTTTAAATCTCTTTCACCATTAAAAAAAAAAAAAAAATTAGGGGCAGCAGATAAAAGCATAGGACAAGCAATCCTAATGACCTAAATTCAAATCCCCATACCCCAACTAACTCCCAAAAACTACTCTCATCTCCTGACCTCCATAAGCACACTATAGCATATGCAGATCCACACTCCCATCATATACAACAATAATAAATTCAATGACATTTTCCAACAATAAAATGGAAAAATGTGCAAAAACATATACTATGTTTATCACCTAATAAATCAAGTATCTTTTCTTTCTTTTTTTTTTTTTTTCCTTAGTTTTTTCAAACAGGTTTTCTCTGTTTAAGTCGTGGCTGTCCTAAAACTCAAGTGTGTAGACCAAGCTGGCCTTAAACTCTGAGATCTGCCTGCTTCTTTCTCCTGAGTGCTGGGATTAAAGGTGCGCACCACCACAACCACCACCAACCCCCCACCTCACCCCCAGTATAAACCAAGTATCTTAATCATAAAGAATGATAACTCTAGGAAATTATTCAACCAATATTTATGGTGGATCTACAAAATGCAAAGCACTGCTACAGAGAACTAAGATGGGCACAGCAAAGGCCTCACAATTCGAAAGACTGAACCAAATCACACGGTTTATAGAGATTCTGAATTTTGAAATATGCCTTGAAAGTATTCAATTTAAAGAGAAGAGAGAAGTTAAGGACATCGGAATAAATTCCACAAAGTTAAGAAAGTCAAGGACATCACAGGCTGGCTTTGAATTTACTATGTAGCCTGAAGGCCTTGAACTCCCGATCTTCCTGCCTTTACCTCCTGAGTGCTAGGATTTCAGGTTTGTATTACTATGCCCAGTTTATACAGTGCTAGGAATATAATCCAGGGTCATACAAGCACTCAACCAAATGAATTCTATCCCCAGCCACAGGTAAGGTCCTTCTTGACCTGGTCTACACCCAAACCTCAAACTTCATGCTTCCATTACGTTCTGCCTTTAGCAAGAATCAGAAAGACTGAATGTTCAAAGCATTGAAAGAAGTTCACTTCGGATTAAGGCAGAAAACCAAAAACAGTGTTCACAGTTAAGTACTTACATGAGGGTAGTTTGATACCCACACCCTTTCTTTTAAAACACCAGAGCTGAAGGTGTAGTTGAATAGAGCAGGTGACCAGCATACCCAAGGCATTGAGGTCAATCCCAAGCACAACAACATGCCAAATATACAACTCATTTGTTTCTCTACATGGCCAGAAAAAGTCAGGCTGAGGTCATAGTTTGGCTTGTATTAACTGAGTTTAACTACAAAACACTGGAAACCTCAGGACAGATGAAGAAAGAGAAGCCATGTAGTTCAGGTTGGCCTAAAATATATTATATAGCATAGGCTGGCCTCAAACTTGCAATCTTTCTGCCTCAATATCCCACTTACTAGGATTACAGATATGTGCCACTGCATCTAGCAAGAAAATGGAAATTTTATCCTATACGGGGGACAATGTGGAGGAAATAATCCTGATGAGCTAGTACAAACTTGGTGTAAGACAGTAAAATCACTGATCCTACTGTTCTATCAGTGTCTCCTACGCAGAACTTGTATCTCTTAAATACCAAACCACTGTAAAGTTAGAATATTGCACACTTAACACCAGGTGGTAGTGGCTCATGCCTTTAATCCCAGCTTTGAGGAGGCAGAGGCAGGCAGATCTCTGTGACTTCGAGGCCAACCTGGTCTACAAGGCAAGTTCCAGGACAGCTAGGACTGTTACACAAAGAAACCCTATCTGGAAAAATTGAAAGAATGTACACTTATCTTTTAGAATCGTATATAAACCTGAGCTTGCATATCACTAGACTCTGTTTTCCTCTAGTGAATTTAAGGTGGGTGAGTAATTACTGTGTTCTCTAAATCAATCAGATAATCTATTCCTATATTTGTCTTTGAGACGGGGTCTCACTATGTAGCCCTGGCTGACTTCAAACACTCCATCCTCTTGCTTCTGTAACCCAAATACTGGAATGTAGGCACGGGTTACCATGCCCAGCTTCTATTTCCCTTTATCTTCCCTCCTAAAGAGAAATTCATCTGTTCCTGCAACCCTGTCAATCTTTAACTGTTCTGTGGAAAGCACATCTTCAAAGAGCTGTCTAAAGGTATGGCTCTCAAAGGAACAGCTACCATAAAACTGGTTTTAAAATTAGCCAAATTCCAAGGCCATTATTTTGGAGTGAATGGTAACAACAATGAAATGTAACAAACTAATCACAGGGTAAAATTATCTTTAAGAGTTGGTGATGAGCCGGGTGGTGGTGGCGAGCACCTTTAATCCCAACAGGCCCATCCAGGAGGCAGAAGACAGATCTCCATGAGTTCTGTGAGGCTAGCCTGGTCTACAGAGTGAGTTCCAGGACAGTCTCCAAAACTACAGAGAAACCCTTCTTAAAACAAAACAACAAAAAAGGGGTTGGTGATGCAGGAATCAATTCCTAAAATAGATCAATAGACCCTCAAAGGATCAAGTATCTGGAGCCCCATCTAGTCCACAGGAACTTGCAGCATCATCTGGGATAATCATGATAAGACTTGCATCTTTCAGGTGCTGAGAACTCAATTCTAGAAACTGACAGCTATCTCTGGACCCCTGCATATTTTGTTTGTTCTAAGGAATTAACTGGCCTGGGTTTGGAGAGATGGCTCAGCAGTTAAGAGCACTGACTGCTGCTGCTCTTCCAGAGGACTGAGGTTTAATCCCCAGAACCCACACAGCAGCTCACAACTGTCTGTAACTCCAAGATCTGACACCCTGACACAGACACTCATGCAGGCAAAACACCAATGCAAATAAAAATATTTTTAAAAAATTAACTCATCATAATTTGTATGCATTTAAACATCAGTCCTGTTGAGACTATTCCTTTTTATACTGCCTATCCCATGAAGACCTTAGTTTAAAAAGCAGTTTTAAAACTAAGATCTTTGCAATAAGTCTAGAATGCTGGTCAAAGAAAGCCAAGGCATACATCAGAGATAAATCTAGTGCCAACCCACCACTCTTCAAGAATCTAGTTGTGTCTTTACTGTTCTGTTAGTAGTACACAGTATATTAAAATCCTGGCTTTCGGGCCTGACTCTTAAGGCATCTTTTGTAGTATGAATGAGCTAATAGTTTGTTGGAATTAGGATAGGTGCTAGCTGGTTAAAGCCCCAAGGCCTGCTCAAGTAAGACCTCCGAAATGGAAGATTCGACTCTGGCAGGCGATTTCTTACCTGTGGAGTCATTGTAGAGGGATCTGGCTCAGGAGCAGCTTGTTTCTGTTCAGCATTCTTGTTCTTGGCCCCATTCTCCAAAGGCTCTTGCTGGACAGTTGTCTTAGTCCCAGAAGGAACGGACGGTGGTGGTAGGAGTTGGGGTTTAGAATGACCCTGGGAGGAGCGGGAAGGAGATGCCTGAGAAGGTGGTAAGTAAGGCTGGGAATGGCTCAAATAAGATTGTGAGGAGGAAGAGGAGGAAGAGTAAGAAGGGGTGGGCGCCAGATAGGGTTGGGAAGGTGGGGACTGTGAAGGGGACGGCTGAGCGGATGGCAGGTAGGGCTGCGCAGAGGAAGGAGGATAGTACGAAGGTGGTGGCTGAGGTGGAGGCATGTACGACTGAGACGGGGGCATGTAAGCTCCCGGAGGTACAGGGGGAGATTCAGGAGGGGACTCCAACTCCATTGGGACCAAACCGGGAGGCCCATCTCGGTGGTGGAGTATCTGGTGTTTGTACTGCTGTTGCTTCTGATAGCTGAGGGCTGGCCCCGGTGGCGGGGGCATCGGTGGCGGCGGTGGCTGCCAGTCTCCGTAACCGCCCCCCGGCATCACCGGCGGGGGTGGCAGCGGGGGCGGAGGAAGGTGGTGGGGCTGGAGAACGCACTGCATTTGTTCCTGGTGCATCTGCTGCAGCTGCTGGAGCTGCGCCAAGTGCTGCTCTCGGAAGCTCATGAAGCCCGATGAGGAAGGGGCCGCCGCGGGGGCCGTCGAACCGGAGTACCCGGGCCCCGGCGAGGCCTCAGGAAGCGCCACCGGCGGCGGCGGCAGCGGGACCGGCGGCGGCGGATAGTGGCTGCTCCCGCCATACCGGCCCCAATTCGGGTACATATCGGAAACGAAGGCGCGGAGCTCGTCCTGGCGCCGTTACTCGTCGCAACCGACCTCCAGGAGCAGCGGCGGTGACGGGGACAGCCGGAACTCGCGGCGCCTGCAGGCCGCGGAGCGTGTGAACGGAGCTCGCCAGTGCGCCGGCGCTACCGTGTTAAGCCCGCGGTCGGAAAGGCGGGGACCGTCCTGAGGCGACTGCGCCTGCGCAGTAGCACCGAGAGGAGAACAAAGGCCAGATAGAGGGGACCTGTACTCGGCTACTCGCTGTTGCCGCCTTCCTTCAGGTTCGGAAAATGTAGGCGGGAATAGAACGTTGTCATGGAACCGAGAAACCAGAGTCTCAGAGCCAAAAGTAGTAGAAGAGATCCTATCGCCCGACGGGTTCAGTTTTGAATGGAGGGGGAAAAAGGAAAAAAAATCCATTCACACTAGCAACAAGAACATAAAACAAGGTGGAATGACTTCTAGTTAGAGAAATCAAGAAAACTGCAGAATCATACCTGAGAATAAAATTAAACTTGATACAACAGAGAAGCTTACAGTAATGGTGAGTAAAAAGTTAAATAAATTGATTTAATCAGTCAACCCACAGTCGGACAACAGAATGAAGATGGATTCTGAAGGAAGAATGTGAAAAACAGCCCCGATTCTTTCCTTCAGGTAATATCTACAGGTACAGGGGTGGGGGAGAGGATGGAATTGTTTAGATTGAATTTTTTTTTTTTAAGTTTGAGGTTTTCGTGTCAAGGTTTCCTGATGTAACAACCCTGGCTGTCCTAGAACTCCCTTGTAATAGACCAGGCTGGTCTCAAACTCACAGAGATCCACCTGCCTCTGCCTCCTGAGTGCTGGGATTAAAGGCGTGGGCTAACACCGCCCAGTTTTAACAGGTAAAAATTCCTCGTTTGGAGAATCCTCAAACCTAAGGCAAAGCCAGGAAAAGGTAACTTAAAAGCTAATTGTCTAAACCCTAGCTACAAAATATTAAAGAATTCCTTTGCTTTTGGTGATGGCTGAAAATTAGAGGTAGTACATTGAAGTCTGAAGAAAAAAAATTACACCAAATCTTTTTAAGACTATTAAGTGTATCAGCATGTCAATTGTGTACCCTTGAAGAACTGACTTGCTTTCTTTCTAGCAGCCAGATTTTTATCTAAGGCGGATGTGGGTGGTAGGTGTGGGGCTAGGGATTTAGTTTCTTTTAACATTTTATTGAATTTTATGAAATACATAAAGTTGCATGTAATACATATAAAACATAAAGGTACACAACCTGATCACATTTGTCCCAGCTCAAGAAATAGCTGTGTATTGTTTGACTTTTCCTGGGAAGATAACAACTGTAAGCATTTTGACGGCTTGGATGGGATGGAATGGACTCAGGCACTCGGGAGCCAGAATACTGAGTGTTACAGCTCAGATGGAAAGGTGAGCCAAGGAATACCACAGGTCACAGTAAGCATAGCAGCTTACACAGCCGAGCTTCAGGGAAAGACTTCCCCAGTGTGTCATCAGCTCTGCCCGAAGAACCAGGGGGTTTCCCCGGGGAAGTTGTTACAGTTCAGCTTCAGTCTCCCTGAGAGTGTAGTGTAACAACTTAACTTTGCCGGCAACACTAAGGATCTTCTCTGCTCCGGGAAAAGTCTCACCCAAATCTCATTCAAGAGATTTATTGGGAGGGAGGAATCCAGGATAGTGGCTGTACTCTGACAGTATGGCAGAGGACAGCCGGGGAGGCAGAACAGCCATAAGGTTTATACTGGGCTTCTGAGGAAGTGTTTTCCCAGGGAGATTTCCAGAGTGGAGATTGGTCAGATTTCAATCCTTGAGCTCAGACTGGCTACTGGTGCTCAGGGATCAGTTGGTTTTCTGCACAGGTTTGGGGTCAGATTTGGCTGATTTTAGGGCCAAAGTGTGTTTCTTTCACTGGTCCTTTTTAGCCTTTTGGCTCTAATTTTAGGACCAGGGTGTATTTCTTTCACTGGCTCTGATTCTGGGGCAAAGTGTTTCTTTGGCACTGGTTCAGGGTCAGGGTGCATTTCTTTGGTTCTGATTGCAGGGCCAAAGTGTGTTTCTTTGGCTCTGCTCAGTTTATGTTTCTTTGGTTGGGCCTTTTCCCCTTACAACATCTTCTGTCTACTCAGCCCAGAAGAAAGCCTGTAACAGACTAACGCATGTATAACAACAAAGTCCAATAAAATAATGAGTTTAATTGGGGTTACTTAAAGATACATGGGAGAGGAGTTTCAAGAGCACAAATGATTCAAAGACTACTTTATCATCAAAGCTCACTTGAGCATGGGGAACAAGAGCTCACAAAAGCTGGAAAACCTGGGAGCATACTGCACAGCCTGCAAGTTGCTCAATAGGTTAGAGTGTCAACCTCCAACACTTGCTCTGTAACTCTTCAGAGAGCTTATCTTGTTTTGACTCCTTTCAGGTTGCTCATCTTTCTAAGCGTCTTCTTTGTGGCTGGGCTTGTCTGAAAGTGACTCTGAAGTTCTTAGTGTTTACTCTTGGGAAGGAGGAGCCTAGTTAATCTGGTAGGCTTCAGGGACTTCCTGAAGCTGTTTTATGTTGTTTACTTTCTGTCTGAAGGAGCTTCCTCTGTGATGGAGTGTTTCAATCTGGAAGGAAACTGCTGCACAACAGCTTGTCATATAGCCTAATTGGTAGAAAGCTGTCTACCTTGCATGAAATCCCAGGTTCAGTTCCTATGCCTCACTTAAAACTGGGTGTTGCACACAACTGTAATCCCCAGAAATCTGGAAATGGAAGCTGGAGGATCAGAAACCCAAGGTCATCCTCTATTACATAGTGAGTTCCGTGAGCTACATGAGACTCTGCTTCAAAAAGAACAGTAACAAAAATGAAATATTTGGGCTTGGCAACCTGTGCCTATAGTCACAGCATTCAGTAGGCTGAGGCAGAAGAATTCCAATCTGAATGTGACATACGAAGTATTCTCCAGCTCAGCCTGTTTTATGTAATGAGGTCCTACCAAGAAACAAAATCTGGAGAGAAACAAAACAACAGAACATTGATTATAAGCAAGGTGGCCAGACCCTGCAATGAGAATGTGTGTTCTAGCTTTGTGGGTGCTTAGGTGCCTAATAATGAACTAAACTTCTAAAACTATAAGCCAGCCCCAATTAATGTTTTCCTTATAAGAGTTGCATGGTTATGATGTCACTTCACAGCAATAAAACCCTAAGACAAAAAAGCAAACAAACAAAAATTGATTTTACCAATTATGTTTATTTTGTTATGTTATAAACATACGATCTTTAAAATTTCATGCATGTGGGTATTTTGCCTACATGTATGTCTGTACACTATGTCCTTGAAGACGCCAGAGGAGGGTTAACTGCTGAGCCAACTTTCTAGTCCCTTGTTTTGTTTTGTAAATAGGTTCTCACTGTGTAGTTCTGGCTGGCCTGGAACTCGCTATGTAGACCAGGCTGGCCTCAAACTCAGAGATCCATCTGACTCTCCCTACCAAGTACTTGGATTTGTCATCATGGCTGGCTTTTGTTTAGTGGAAAAAAAAAAAACAAAAAAAACAAAAAGCAAAATGCCAGGTGGTAGTGGTGCACACCTTCAATCCCAATACTTGGGAGGCAGAGGCAGGCAGATCTCTGAGTTCAAGGCCAGCCTGGTCTAGAGAGTGAGTTCAAGCAGAGGCTCCAAAGCTACACAGAGAAACCCTTTCTTAAAAACAAAACCTAAATAAATAAATAAAGAAAACAAAAACAAAATAAAAACCAGACTATTACCAAACTCAGAAATCCCAGTTAATTGTATTTTTAATGGTTTTTTTTTGAAGTTCTCTTTTGAAAAATACTTTCAAAAGTGCAATGTACTGTAGTTACCAAAGGAGAAAAATCATATAATTGCTATCTTAGATGCAGAAGACATCAATACTTTTTTGTTTTTGTTTTTCAAGACCGGTTATCTCTGTGTTAACAGTCTTGATCGTCCTAGAGCTAGCTCTATGGACCAGGCTGGCCTCATACTCACAGAGATCCACCTGCCTCTGCCTCCCAAGTGCTGGTACTAAAGGTGTGCACCACTACAGCCCAGCAAGTTCAATAAATTTTTCAAGATTAAATTTTCATGATTTTTTTAAAGCTCAGGTTATGGTTTTGATGTTAAACATCTCTCAAAGTAGCTGGGCAGTGGTGGTGCACGCCTTTAGTCCCAACACTTAGGAGGCAGAGGCAGGTGGATCTATGTGAGTTTGAGGCCAGCCTGGTCTAGAGAGTGAGTTCAGGCTCCAAAGCTACACAGAGAAACCTTGTCTCAAAAACAAAAAACAAAACAAAACAAAAAACAAAAACAAAAAAACAAACAAACAAACAAACAAAACAACAACAAAAATCTCCCAATGGCCTAGATGCTAACCATTTGGTGGTTCTCTTGGAACTTTTAGAGGTACAACTTAAGATGTTGACTCTTGGCTGTCAACTTGCCAGGATTTAGAATTGCCTAGATGTCAAACTTCTAAGTTTGTCTGTCAGGTGTTTCCAGAAAGGCTTAACACATGAAAAGGTAAACCCTAGTAGTATCACTCCACAGGCTATGTCCCTGAAAAATCAATTGTAAGGCAGGCAGTAGTGGCTCATGCCAACACTTGGGTGGTGGAGGCAGGCGGATTATTATGAGTTCGAGGCCAACCTGGTCTACAGAATGAGTTCCAGGACAGCCAGGACTACACAGAGAAACCCTGTCTTGATAAACCAAAAATAAAATAAAATTGAATTAAAAATAAATAAAAATTTAACATTAAGAACACAATTGGAATCCAAACATATAAATTAATAGAAATGGGTTAATTTAAGTTAGAAGACTAAGCTAGAAAATAAGCCTATGCTATCAACTGGGCTTTCATAATTAATAACTCTCCATGTGGTTATTAAGGAGCCAGCTGGTGGGACAGCGAAAGTCCAATTACAAATGGTGCCCAACATCTGGACATGTATATCCATGTAAGACCCGATAAAACTTAAAAAAAAAGGTTCTAAACACATAAACACAGAACTAAATCCAACTTCTTAGTCTCATGTCTCTCGTGCTGACCACAGTACAGAGACATGTCTCCAGGCAGCTTCCTGTGTTCTTGAGACATCAGTGCACCATGAACTAAGCCATGTGACAGGTTTAAGGATATGCTCATGCAGACAGAAAAGGTTACAGATACACAGTAAAGC